GCGTATCATGGAATGTGAGAGTCGTCATCGTAGGCGGACTCTTTCCATGAAAGATGTCATGATGCATAGGAGGGAAGTGAGTTGTGGTGGATGGAGGTGTCTGGGTTCACAGCATAACCTCACCGGCAGTAGGTTGTTGTCCGGCGTTCAAATGTTTCGTCGTCTTGTGATGGACTGCAAGCAGGCGTTCCCAACCATTCACGTCAACCACGAATGCAACTGCAGGTGTGAAATTGTGAACAGTCTGAAGTGTCGGAATGTTTTTTCAAATGTCTGAATGTGTTTTCAAATTGCGAACGTATGGAATGCCGGAAACGTGTTGGGTTCATTGGGAAATTGTGAACAGTCTGAAGACATGAAGATGGGTATATGTTATGTGGTAAACTTTGCTGATCACATTCTTGGTTGTCTGTATGCCAGGTTGTGATCGGGGGGCTAGAGGGTGAAGCGGGGGGAGAGGAGGGTATGGGGGGAGCATGGGGGGATAGGTGAAAGTGGGGGGTTGGGAGCTTGGGGCGGGGGGGGGGGGGGGAGGGAAGGCTCAGAGGAACAACACAAAGGAGAGGAGGCGGCACGGGGGGAAAGCGTAAAGCAGCAGGTGGGCCTGTAGAATCTGGCCTGCAACGGTCTTTTCCCAAACTTTGTCGTAGCCTGAGGTATTGTTTAGCTTCATGTGACTGTATGTAGATTTGTCCTGCACCCGTATGACGATTTCATTTGACTCTTCTTCAGTTCGGCGTCATCTCAAGTCTACAAAAGGAGAATGATGTGGCAGCAAGTCCGGGGGGGCCTCTGGGGGATGGGTTGGATATTGACTTCCGCTTGTCCTGAAGTTGGACGAACTCTTCTTCATCTCTGCATTCTGTCGCAGATGCCGCTTCTCAAATGGAAAGAACCTTGTCCGTGCACTCGTGTCTTTCTTGTGTGTGTGTGTGTGTATGTGCGTGCGAGTGTGTGTGTGCGTGTGTGTGTGTGTGTGTGTGTGTGTGTGTGTGTGTGTGTGTGAGAGAGAGAGAGAGAGAGATGCAACTTATGTCGATTGTGATGGTCCTCAAGGGAAACATGAAGGAAGCAAACACTGGGGGCGGGGGGGGGAAGGGTGGAAGAGAGAGAGAGAGAGAGAGAGAGAGAGAGAGAGAGAGAGAGAGAGAGAGAGAGAGAGAGGTGCAGGTTACGCCTATTGTGACGGAGGTCAAGGGAAAAGTGAAGGAAGAGAGAGAGAGAGAGAGAGAGAGAGAGAGAGAGAGAGAGAGAGAGAGATGTGCAGGTTATGGCTATTGCGACGGAGGTTAAGGGAAAAGTGAAGGAAGCAAAAACATTACTTTGTTCCTGGCCATGGCGAACTGTTCACAGCTCTTCTCCGAAATGGAAGCAAAGTAATGTTTTTAAATTTTAAACAAGTGTAAATGGAGCAGGCTGAGTGATATTTGTTTACAACTTTACACTTGTTGCCTCTATTTGCAGTCTGAATGTCCGCGCCTCGGCAACGGTTAGCGTTTGTGAACACCAGTTGGTAGGTAGGACAAGTTGTTTGCAGTTGTTATCAGCAGCAAAATTAGTAGCATTGTGTTAGCAGTGATGGCTATCTTTTTTTTTTTTTTTCCTTCTTTCTTTGTGAGATAGCGATTAGAAGTTGTTGGCAGTAGCAGTCAGCGATTCTTCGCTGTTGTCAGGGCTTGTTAGCGGCAGTTGTCGGTGGGCTGTTTTGCTATTGTGTTCCGTTGCAAATGGTTGATACGCAGAGCATCTATGATCTATCTACTTAGTTGAAGAAGCCCACGCACACACTTCTTGTTGATAGATGGATGGATGGATGGATTGACGAGCGTTTGAATCACAGCGAGTGCATTTCATAGTGACTCCTTTTTTCTTCTTCTTTTGAATCTTTTTTTCTTGCCCTCTACGTTGCTGTTAACTTACTTGCCTTGTAATTCAGCCTACACTGTCGTCTTTCACTATACACTGTCTACACTGTCTACAGTGTTTGCGTGTTGATCTTTGGTCGACAGCTTGACAATCCTTTCGAGTACTTTGGCGGCCGCCATACCAGACGCCGCTGTGCTTTTGTGATTGTATGTATGCGTAGCGTGCAAGTGTGTGTTATTGTGTGTGTGTTATTGTGTGTGTGTGTGCGTGTGTGTGTGCCTCCTCACTGAGTAAATACAAGGTGTTACGTGTGCGTTGCATATCATAGTGGGGACCACCACCTCATACTGTGGGAACACTCACAGCCCTTCTTTCCAGCACAGCTCAAGCGGAGAAGAGTACACTCCCCCACCAGTGTTAGTGGTGCTCACCTGCTGGAAAATGGGTCCAGCGTCTTATATACAGACTGAATTTGGAGTACATCAGAAAAAACAAGTGTGGGAGAGTCCTGCCAGCATTGATTACCCTGGGATCCAGGGGATAGACTGAGCAGGATATTGGAGGGAAGGGGGAACCTCTTCACCCTGAACCCGGCGCCAGATACCTACTGCTACACACTAGTTCCTCCCTCCCCCTACCGGCCCAAGTTCCAACTGTCAATTCCTTTTTTTCAGCAGCTCTGACAAGTACTACCGTCTTCACCCGAAAATAACGCCCGGGCGTTGTGTACGTGTTGTCCAGGATTGGAATGCGACCAGCTTTTGGCTGAGGGTCACTTCAGAATTCCTTATAAACTCGGAAATAAAAAATAAAAAATGAAAACTAAAGCCAAAATATACCCCTTGGAAGTCAAAACCCCATTCAACCCTCTTCAAAACCCATGTATACCCCCTTGCCCGCCCTTTAAAACCCACGTATACTACCTCTTCAAGGCACTCTGCCCATGGAACATTCAACAACACCCGGGCGTTCTATTCGAATATAACGCCCGGGTGTTCCTACTCGAAGTGGCGTTCCATTTGAAAAAAAGTGAGTGAAAACGAAAATCTCATCTTTTTAGGGTAAGTTGAATATAATGCTCGGGCGTTATTTTGGGGTGAAGACGTTAGGGGTGCTTATAGGAGCAGACACCTCTAGTACTGTCGGAGAGGCTTCATCTAATGGTGGGGAGCGCCACCTGCTGGAAACCGGGTCCAGCGTCCCTTTTAACAGAGCAAAGGTTTCTATAATTACATACTGGCAGCCAGATCCCACTATACATCATTAGGCCTGCCAGCATTGATTGCCCTGTTTCCAGGGGATCGACACTTTGGGCCTCTTCTGTATGTTCCGTCCTTGATCCTCAATCTACTCCATACCATTGCATGTATACCATTGCCAAACGGTGGGGCGGGAAGGGATCGGGAAATTCTGTGGATGGTCGCAGTGGATCTCCTAGCCCACCAATGTCCTGTCTTTGGAGCAAATACCTAGGCTACCAGAGTGGCCCGGGGTAACTTGCCCGGCCGGGCCAAAAAAAATAAAAATAAAATAATATTTTTAAATTTTATTTTTTATTTTAAATTTGGTGAAGAATTTCGATGTGACCCTGAGGCAAAAGTTGTTCAGTTTATTTTTCTGCATAACATAGTTTTTTTTTCGGATTTTTTGGATT